ATAAAAAGTTGATAGCGTTATTAAGATTCCATCATAATAACGATATCGAACGATATTTTTAGTTTATTACGATATCTTGATAAAAAAAAATCGTGAGCACAGCTATACCGCTAAAATACCAGCACTCTGACGTCACTTTTACTGTAAACATATGCAAACTGAAGTGTGCAATATACGTCATGTGCACTAGGGTGGTCCAAACTGATTTATCATGGTAAGGTATATGCTCCCAATAGCTTAAAATTAAATTGGGCTCAAACCTAGCTGATTCCGATTGTCGGAACAAAATTTTTTTTAAAATCTAGTGGTCGATAGAGCCGTACTTAAAATGACTGTTTTTGACCTATTTTTCAACATATATATTGATAGAAAACCCATAGGTTATTCAATTCGAATGTGATGACATATCATTTTTAGGGTTTTTTGGAACGCTGAACACGAATCCGTTGTCAAAAATTAGCTAATGTTGCTTTTTAAAAAAAGTTTTAGTACAAAAACTTGGTTTCTTAACAAATTCAGCCATATAGCAGAAATACATAGTTTCAAGTGTATTTTCAACACCAAATTTGAACTCAGCGCCTCAAATTACCTTAAGACTGACTATGCTGATGACAAAAATCGAATAATTTCAGAACTAAAATTTTCTAGTAGTGTTGACGTTATAGATTTACATTTTTGATATGTTATTAATATGTTAATAACCAAAATATCGGAAAATTTCTAATAACGCGAAGAAAAGTTTCATACTAAAAACGTATCAAATATCGTCAAACGACGAAATATTGAAGAAAAATGCATCTGACGAATTTGTGATAATTGATAAAAGCTATCAAGGCCATTATCTCCTTACTGGTACGAGATAAGTGATGTTTGTTTGCGGAAATATTGTAGGTTTTAGCGAGATCAAAAACTTTGCAACAAAGTTTTGCTCTGTCGCATATGGGGTTCGAGTTATCGTTCCAAAAAAAACCTAAAAATGATATGTCACCACATTCGATTTGAATAGCCTATGGGTTTTCTATCAATATATATATTGAAAAATAGGTCAAAAACAGCCATTTTAAGTACGGCTCTATCGACCACTAGATTTTAACCACATTTTTTTGATCTGACAATCGGAATCAGCTAGTTTTTAGCCCAATTTAATTTTAAGCCATTGGGAGCATATACCTTACCATGATAAATCAGTTCGGACCACCCCAATGTGCACACGTATAGCTGTATTTCATTTCAAGATTTCGAAATAAGGAAAACATTCACAGTAACAGACACTTTGCAAGCAGTGTACAACGTATGTGAGCCAATCACATGTTGATATACGTAGTGATGTTTGTGTATGTTGAATGTAGATACACATACATACATTTAATACGCCTGCTATGAGTACAATAATGAGCAAGCAAGTCAGTCTCAATTCTATTGGCATCCAAATTTATTTACGTTCCCGTTTTAACCGCTAGTGATTGTGAAATTTAGTTTTTGGTTCAAAAATACTAGCAACTATATCTTATATCAAAGAAGTAAATAGCATATTCCAAAATTGAAACTTTTCATCGTTTACAAAAAAAGTTCTTCAACATAATATAATCGTCTAACAAACTAAAGTCTAACACTTTTGGAATATTCTTCTTCTTATTGTGAAATTCAATTCTATTTTATTAAAACGTAATATGACTTCGGATATTTTTTAAACTAAAATAACTAAAAACTGATCTAGAAGTAATTTCACGTAAGAGAAATGATCAAAAATCATATTGCGTTTTTGAAATAAATTTGAATTTCATAATAATAAGAAGAAAAAGATTCCAAAAGTTTCAGGCTCTGTAACAGACTGTGAGTTAAAATCTGTGACAATATCAAAAAGACAAAGTCAGTCAGTTCATCATAGACTGCGTCGCAGCATTTCAATCAAGACAATTTACGTAATTTCACAACATTTCGAAAGTCGCGCCAATTTAAAATTCTAATCAAATAAAATTTGTCTTCCATTGATTAGATATTGAAAGACCAACTCATAGAAGAATGGAAAATCATACGATGCAATTATTGGATTTTTCTAATGAAATTTTGCATGGAATTTTTGCAAATTTCAACGACGTCGAACTATTAAATGGAACACAAGTGTGTACACGATTTGAAATGATCGCAAGAGACGCATTCGCAAAGCGATATAACTGGCATTCCGAAGAAACCTTCTACGAAATTAAATTGTATTCCGATGACAGCAACAACGACCAACGACTCTATCGTGCATTTCTGGAAGTATTCGGCAATCAAATGGCATCGTTAGAACTCATTGCAGAAGAACGATCGAATCAGCATGATATCTTGCGATGGATAAGTCGATATTGCCGTTCAACAAAGTGGCTAAGAATTGTTAATAAGGGACATGCATTTAATGTCACACAAATGATTCAATCAATGAACAACTTGATTTTCCTTCAACTTAAAAATTTGAACTGCACGAATTTTGATTGGGCTGATATACATTTTCCACATCTCCAAAGTTTTGCTGTTGAAAAATGTCCCTGCATAAAAGTTCAGGTGCTAATGCGGTTTCTACAGAACAACCCACAAGTGGAAGATTTATACATTGATCATTGTCGAAAGTTTCCACTGAAAATGATTCAAGCGCTGCAAAACAAACTGAAGCATTTGAAAACCCTAGAATATTGGTCATCGAGCAATGAGTTTTCCAACCAATGTGAAACCATCAATTTTGAACAATTGGATAGTTTGAAAATAACGGTAGACAAATCATCATTTCGAAATGTTTTGTCAGCAATTGCAAGGGGAAGCAAAATGATACGTTCGCTATCTGTGATGTGGTGTGATGATATCTCCGATAGTGAAAATCATCAACTTGTCGAAATCATTGCATTATTTGAAAAATTAACATTTTTGCGCTTGAACAATTTCATTTTGCCACTTATCCTGGTTGAAACTCTAGTTTATCGTTTACCAAAACTAGAAACATTGCATTTGGATTATGCGAAACTAGATCAGCTATCATCTGATTTTTTACTCTCCCTGTTTAGAAAAAGCAAATACTTGAACGATGTTTGGCTTAGTAACTACGATCAAAATGTCAAAATGCAGCAATTCAACGCGAATTTTCATCACAAATTGGTCGACATCATTCGAAATCGTGGCGGTAAAGTAAAATGTGAAGTCATTCAATACGACACAAAATTGCTAATTACCCACGAAAATATTACTAGAAATGGTGAATTGATATATTCTATTGGATTTGATATGCCAGTTAACCAAACCAACGTCCATTTGCTCGATCTTAGTGATGAGTGTTTAGATAAATTATGCTCGTACTATTTGGATGAGCATAGTGTCCGTGCATTATACGAGACCTGCACTCGAATGAAAAAAGCGGTTCAACAACGTGTTAAGGATCAAGTTTTCATCATTTCTAACGCAACCGACGCTGAGGACGTATTCAATCGATTTGGAGAACACATTGTGAAATTATCAATCGATATGAACACAAACGATCGCGATCCAATGGCTGACGTCTGGACTTGGACAGAAAAATTCAGCAAGAATTTAATTGAGTTGTCCCTAAACAATCTCAGAATTGATGCAATGGAACTATTGACACCGACCTTTCCAAACATGACAAAGTTAAAAATCACGTCAATAGTCTCTAGTGACATTCATATTCTACCACCGATGGATTGTCCAAAATTGACTCATCTCGAGTTTAATGAAGGTGAAATTACGTTGGCAGCCAATGCATTGCAGTTTGGAATCACTCTCGATCATTTGACAACCATTCGATTGAATTATTTTAGTGTTTCCATCAGAAATATCCTCTATGTTTTCGATGATGTAGTTTGTGACCAAATCCAAGAGTTTACCGTTGATCTACAGCAAAGAACACAATTAGCGCGCCGAAGTCTAGTAAGCATCGCCTCCCGTTTTAGAAATCTCACAACGCTTAACTTAATTATTGACATTGAACGAGTGAATACGAAGTATTTATTCGAGACATGCACGAAATTAACGAAGCTATCGTTAGGGTATTGTTATCAATTTGACAACAGCGATTGGTGTCAGATGCTGCAACATATTCAAAAGAATTGCAAACGATTGGAATTGTTTCAATTGTGTAATTATGCCTTTTATAGTGGATTAAATCACGATCATCTGGTGAAGATCGCCGGTACGCTTCCCAAGGTTAAATTTTACATCATTTCTTATGATAGCAACGGAAATATTTCCAATATAGAAATGTTCAATAAAGTAAAAAATTTAGAACACATGAAACCATATTGAGAGGTGAAGAGAAAATTCTTTTTGCAAAATATCAACAAATATCCTAAATCGAGTCAAAATTGTTAAAATTATTTAAGCTCTACAGTTCTTAGATATATTTTCACATAAATAAATGTTTTTATATCATTCATACTTGTTTTGGGATCATTTAGCATTTAATCGCTTTGAATCAATCTATAGGGCTTTCAAAATTGAGGCGTTACATTAACATTGCTTTTCATGGATTGCCATTATTATGCATTGTCATCAATAAAATTTGAATGAAAGAAATGCCTCTAATCAATTGAAAAACAATTGAAAAGGTGGGAAATTTGGATCAAAATATTCAGACGAAGATTTGATAATCGAACACCAAATTTAGAAAAGAAATTGAAAAAAGAACGGTTTTTAAAAAATGTTCATTAGATGGCGCTGGCAATCAAACTACACACAATCATGCTCGATTCATTTGAAATAAAGTAATTGAAATTGTAACATATTCTGAGACAATCCGAATGGTGGAAATTCGTAAATGAATGCCATTTTTCTTTTCCCGCTTCACTCTAAAACTCTCCGACACATCTAAAACCTCATAAACTGTCTCACTTGTTCATATTGAATCATGAAGTGTGCGGTTCACAATCGAACTACTGTTAGACAAAAAAAAATCATAGACAAAACTGAAATGACTTGTAATCAACTTCAGTCGTATAGCAAATCTGTCAAAAGAAACTTTGGTCGGCTGAAACTTCACCACAGCAGTGAAAAATCAATTCAATCATCTATTCCCAATTATTATCCAACTACAATGGCAGCAGTAGGAAAATTGTCAGGTGCCATCAACAGTAAGTGAAAAAAATACCACCAAAATTCATCAAATTCATCAAATTCATCAATTCAATATTTCATAAAAAGCCAATTTATTATGTGAACATGCTCATGAAGTTGCTATCACAAACGTCATTACGTAATGTAGAATGATTTTAACCTTGCAAATGTGTGGAAAAAATCCTTTTTACCGGAAACAATGCATATTATAATGGCTAAAATTACATGAAAAGTGATCAAAATGTAATATGTTGCTGAATTTCTTTCAGATTTGATTGTTGCATCACGACCAAGATTGCAAGTGGCCGCCAAATATGCTTTGGTCGAATTGACACCACCAAAAGTCAGTGACATTCCTGCTATCCGATCAGGTAAACTAAGCGATGCTATTCGTTTGGAAAATGGGTGAACTAGTTTCACTTTTCGTGCAACTTCCGTTGTTATCATTGTATTCATTCATTTAACCTTCATTCGAACGTTTCAGGACTCGGCAAATTGATTTCCGGTGCAAAGAACGGCGCATGGAAAAACACCACCGTTCGTGAGGCATGGTTGAACACTTTGGTTACCGTTGAAGTGTTGTGCTGGTTCTTTGTCGGTGAATGCATTGGCAAACGCCACTACGTTGGCTACGATGTCTAAGCGCAACAGTTCAAACCTCCAAAATCCAGTTAATTTTTATTTGCACGTAGAAAGTGATTTTAACTGAACTCTATAGTTTATAATGCCAAGCAGTTGGATACAGAAGAAAAATGTAAAATATTTCCCACATAACATCTGAGCGAAATTCTCTACCTTTGAAAACCGAAACACAAATAAAATTCATTCTATTGTCAAATGTGAGTGAAACAAAAAAAAAAACGAAACCGGTGTATATTTTTTTTGCTCTTCTTTTTGCTGTTTTATTTGTATATGCTTAAATTCTTTATCATCTTTTCAAAAGATCGGACAAGACTAAAAACTAAAACACAACAACATGATGCTTGAAACGCGAAATGACCTCTTCTCTCTTTCCTTCTCGCTGTAACTGTTTTTTTTGTTTCGAAATTCGAATATACTGAAAAAAAAATCTAATTGATTTCGCTTCACTTTATTTGTTCATGTGTATTGCTCAAGCGAAAGCGGCTCCGGTGGCACTTAAAGCTGACAAACTTGATAAATCAAGTCCAAGTTGTTTAGCGACATTCAATTGTGCGATAGCTGCATTCCTCAACGAATAAATGTGAACCATTTCCATTTCGGAGCGACACAACTTCAATGCTTTTTCGAATAATTCAATGGCATCCTCTAGCAGACCACGTTGCACTTGAATCGTACCGAGTGTTTCATAGGCCAGTTCGCATTTCTCGTCGATATCGATGGCCTTTTGCAGTAAATCCAATGATTTTTTGATGTCTCCGTTCCATTGTAAATGCAATAATCCTCGATGCACGTATCTGAAAATGAAGAGATCTTTTTATTTTTTTTCGAACGTTTTCCCTTAGGTTTGATTTTTAAAAAAATAAGTAATCTACATACAGTGATGCCTGGGTTGGTTGAATGGTGATTGCCTTTTCGAAGAGTTCGTCGGCTTTGTCGAATTGCTGTTGTTCGGATAGGATTTGTGCCAAAATATTGTAGCATTCGATGTTATTGGGAAACTTATCGGCTGCTCGGTGTGTGGCTTGAATGGCATTGTAAATTTGAACTTGATTCTGAACTAGACAAGCATGACGGTATTCGGCATAGCATTTTTGAACCAATGCCGAGCACATGTGTGGCGTCAATTCAATGGCCATATTAAAATCGGCTAAGGCTTCATCAAGTTTCTCGAGTAATACATACACTTGACCGCGTTGATGGTACACATCAGCATTTGATGGGTCCAATTTTTCAGCGGCTGCAAAATCTTCGAATCCTTTTTGATGCTGTTCATTTTGCACATTCAATGAGGCACGTTTGATCAAAGCGTTCGCCTTCACCGAAGTGTCAGCGTCCGAGCTGTCGATGACATAGTCCAAATCTTTGGATGCTTCACCAAGTGAACCAAGCAGCAGATAAATTGTGCCGCGAAGTAGTCGTGCTTCGATTTTACGCTTTTCGTCTGACTCGTTCGAGTCAATTTCTTCGGTGCATGCTGGTATGATGTCTTCGTATTTACCGTCTTTCAAGGCCATCTTTGCTCGACTCAAGCCACTGTTTGCATTTTCATCGGCGTCGTTTGTCATTAGCGGGTCATTTGAATACGATGCAAAGTATGTTTTGATGAAATTCGCCGATGGGTACACGACTTGTCGATTTTTGAACGCTTCTTTGGCATCACGACGACCTGAAAATGAATCGAGATTTTGTTTTCATTATTTCGAACATTTTCCATTCACACTTCAATGAAGTGATTTCATGTAAAAAGTAGCAGAAATCAAAGTATATCGATTTCAACATAATCAAACACATTTCATCAATCAACCATTCTATTCTGCACTTACCCAACTCTTTTAAAACGCGATCGGCAAAAATGAGCGAACTTTGATTTTGAAATCCTTCCAAAATGCAAGTGGCAGTGATGTCTTCCAAGCTGGCGCATAAATCGTTTGTATTTTCGCTGGCTTTGGCGCGACGGAACAATGCCTTAATGTATCTTGAATTCAATTCCAAAGCGTTCGTACAGTCCTCCTTCACCGCTGACCATTTCTTCAGTTGTTCATAAGCAGCAGCGCGATTTTGGTAAAATGTCGATAGGTCAAGTGGTTGGGATTTTGGGCACGTTTCGATGGCTTTATTGTAAAATTCAATGGCCTCACTGAATTTGCCGCTTTTAAACCTTGAATTGCCATCATTCTTATACGCTATTGCCTTTTCCAATTCGGTTTGTGGTTTTGGTTCAACCATTTCTTTCGGCAATTTATCATCACCGTCCAGCGATATTGATTTCTCTTTCGAGTTGCTGATTTTCTTCTTGTTTGTGCTGCTACCGTCCGTGCTGTCGGCTGACTCTTCGGTCAAATTGGACGTTGTTTGATTTCGAAAATACAAGTAGCCCAGTCCAAGTGCAATTGGTGCGCCCAACAAAATAGCCATTTGCCATTTTGGTAGCAACGACCCCGTACTGCCCGTACTCATCTCAGTCAACCAATCTGTTTCGATATCATCGTACGTAAAATACACACACACACAGAGAAGAGAGAAAAATGTAGATAAGGAAAAAACAAAGGAATTTTTCTTTATATCGATCACATTTGACAAATGTAGAACAGCACAAATCGAATTACACGGAATTGTCAACTTAATGCCAATCTTACATAATATCCGAAACAAACAAATAAAAAGCCATGAAAATAACTTACTATGTTTTTATTGCGCTGGACCTTTTTTAGTTGCTTTCTGACAAGAAAACACACACGCACCGGCAGGGGAATGTGAAAGTGAAATTCTACGTTCTGACTTCATGCGAATTGTCGTGTGTCTGTCAAAATGCACAATCACATGGGTTTTCGTTACACACTACTGACGCCATCTGGCGAAACTGATTGCAAGCTCAAAATCGTAACGAAATGTTATTCTATGAAATCTGAACGTAAATACTCTCAACACACATTCTGACTCCAAATTGCCATTAAACATTTAATTTGTAGATGCAGAATGAAAAATCTTATGAATATTAGCAATTAGTTAGTACGTGCGGCAGGTAGGTTGTTATCATACTGCACAATAATTGTCGCGTCTGATAAACATTTTTTACAGCCTGAAAAGCAAATTAAGTGCACATAGAAACAATTTGAAAATTGTACAATGAACAAATTTGGTGCGAAAATTTCCTGCGACATGCATTTTTTTTCTCTCTCTCCCTCTCGATCTTCCTCTTTGTGGTCAGATAAATGAACTGTAGGCTGTGAGCTGAAAAAAAAAACAGTCTGGGTCAAGGTAGTATCGATTACTGGTTCATTTTAATAAATTTATCGTTTAATATGCGGAACAAATTATAGGTTTTATCTAGCTATTACGAGTTTATGATTGATGCTAAATTCTTGTTGATGTATAGAAAGTTTTTTCTCTCTCTTCTTTTTGTGTGTTTTGTTGTGTATTTTTCATTATTTTCAAGTCTCGTCGACACAACAGACGAAATGGTTTTAACAGAGACTATTTGGTTTTTGTTCGTTTTTGCAACCATGATGTAATTAAATGCACTTATTTGCACGTAAAGTCAGGCAGCAACAAGCCGAAACAATGATGTTCTGACCATCCAAGGGCGAATCACAATATATTACCATAAAAGTGTTTTGCGTAGCTTGTGTTGTGTTGAAAGTGACTATCGTTGTTGTTGTTATCGCCGTCGTCGTCGTCATTCAGTTCAATATCACTTGGTTACAATGTGAGAGAGGGAGAGAGAGAGAGATAAAAAGAGTAGAGGTTTTATTTTGTATTCCAAAGAATTGCTTGCAATCATCAATTCTTTCTACGAAAATCGACCGAAAATTGAGAAAGAGAGCAATAAAACCAAAACACATCGCGAGAAAAAAAACGACTTCCAAAGAGCTGATCAGGTAAGAGACAACCTGTTTTACTAAATATTCACCGATTCGAGAGTGTTAATAAAAAGCAACGGTTGCCTTAAAATCGTCTCTGTCTCTCTCTCGTTCAATCAATTAAAACATTGAACTAGTATTATGCTTTTTATTTTATCAGTGAATCACACACACGGGCACATTATAAAGAATTTATTCAGCTTTGTTGTTTGTTGTCTCGGATATTCTGCTCTTTTTATTATTTCGTCCAAAAAGGTGTATTTTATACTATATTATACATAAAAACAAAAGTAGTGTGCAATGTGCTAAACCTAGTATGTGTATTCATAAAAAAAATGAGAGCAACAAATACGCGCGACATTCCATAGCCCGTTGTCGTACATTCATATGCGCAGATACTATATAATATGAAGAGCAGAGACAAGAGAAGAGAAAAAAAACCGAACTTGGCGCTTAATGCGACAAAATAAATGATGAATATCTAAGCGATATCAAGCGACTTGGCTGTTTTTTTTTTAATGGTCTAGTGACTTTGGTGAGCGCGCGCACGATTTAGTATGGTCAATGAGATATAAAAAAAACCAATACGGAGCATCATCGATATTCCTAGAAAACCTTCTGGATGCACGGAAAATGTACGAAAAAAAGCACGTAACATCAAGAAGAAGAAGAGACTTACACTCAAACGTACATTCATATTCAGTTTGAGTACGAGGCGACGATGGCATAAAAATAGCCTCACAAAATAAAACATTTTTTGTTGTTGTAATCGGCCGTTTCGCCGAGCAGCATGAAGAGGAGAGAATCGAATGAAGAAGAGAGAAAAAAATGCAAAAAAAAACGAAACATTTCGAAAACATACATAATGAATACGTAACCTCAGAAAGACATCAGACCATGTGAATATTATTTACCTTCTGTTGTCGTTGGTGCTGCTTTTGCTGCTACACTTTTTTTTCTATCTTTCACTCAGACACACACTCTATGTTTGCGCGCCGATGATTCGTGACTTTGACAATTCATTATTGTTTATTATTTATGACGCGACTCTGCGACACACTCATTTTAATGCCAAATCGAGTACGCTCTGCGTATGTAATTATATTATCCGATGAAAGTGCATAAACAGTGGAAACAAGAGCACACACTGACGACAATGTAGACGACGATGAGCGAATGAAGAATGTTATCGGTCGATTTGTATGTTATTAACGGCCACTGCGCGCTATCAGCGACGACAACGGCGGCAATGTCGATAAATATCTGAATTGTGTGAGAACAAATGCTTTTATATCGACATTGTTATCTCGCAACCGCTTCGATAGATTTTTTTTGCTTTGCACGTGCTATGAAACACGATCGTGAGCATTGTGTTCGCAATTTGCATTTGCAAATCACATAATAATGAGTCTTTACGAGCGATTGTCATACGATCAAATGATCATTCAATGTGGAAAAAATTGCACAACGCGTCGCGTACTTTTCTCTGCTTCTTCTTTGCTTCAAATGTAAATAAAATGCCTCACACTTCATATGAATATGCACAGAGCGCATAGCACAGCACACACACCGTCGTCTATTTTGCGTATGATCGACCCAGCTGAAATGTTTGCTGTTAAAATTTCAAGTTCATTGCTCATATTCATAATAATAATTAAACCACATTGTTTCACGAACAAAGCAGCGATGACGGCAGCAGTGACGACGACGCACACATTGGACTGCTACTTGGAAGTGGGAAATGAATATTGGCTGAAAAAAAGGAAACGGAATTTAAAACAAATCGGATTCGTACTAGTTTCAATATATCGTCGAAATTGCGTCTTAACGTTTCACATACATGTGAAACAAAAAGAAATAGATTGTAATCGTAAACCATATGTAATTTGAATAGATTGACGCGTGTGGTTTGTTGCCCATCTATTTTCCATACCACTGGTTTATATGGTCAATGAGATAGATGTTCGTTAAAACGATTCACGAAAATTTTGCGTTGTTGCGGATCATCCTCACCGTTAGGAGGAGCCGCGCGCGGGTGGATATGTGGTTCTGTGTGTCGTACACAACAGCGCAGCACATTTGGGATCCATTATCTCTCGGATATTAACGGATATTCTAGATGAGTGCCCGAGCATCTATAGTGTTGTTTGTCTCAAGCTGTTACCGTGCGCCTCGTGCCAACGCACATTATCGTCTTTATGTCATTTTATTAATACCGTACGTTTGTGTGTATCGTCAGTTCGTCATGCAATTTTCTTTCTGAATATCATATAGCGATTTTTGCACAGGAATCTACTCTCCTATATACGATGAAAAGAGAATTTAACGAGCCTTTATTTTTGTGTAAACATCCATACACCGAACACAGACTGACACACACGCATAAACATAGTCGAAATCGATCTCGTCCCGTCGTGCACACACAACCAAACCCGAGCCGATGGTGGCAAAAGAGAAACTGATACACATCACACAGCTCCGTCGCCCGACTATACAAGGCTAACTATGTTTCACTTCGGCTCTCTCATTCTCTTTCTCTGTCTACCACTCGCTGCGATCAATTCACTCTCCGGCTAGCGTACAAACATTGAATGAATGCTTGTTTCGGCTTGTCCGCATGCTGTTGATATGTTACTGTTGTTGCGGCTCGCGCACGATACTCCGACTGGCTCACATTTGACTCTAACAAATGCGTTTTCATGTATAATTTGAGTCAGTCGAATATTAACCGTGACTTCGTGTGGATGTACATTCTTAATTTTCCATAAGAAAACAAAAATACCGAGGAATTAAAAAAACTCAGTCAAATTTTCTGTCCAAATCAATTCTTACCTTTTTTTCGTTTGATTTTCGTTTTGTTATAATTTTATTTCATTTTTTCCGAGTACGTGTTTTTTTCCTCGATTTGTCTGTCAATAATAACCGCAGAAACCGATAAATTTGCCTGTTTATACGTTCAATCTCTTCTACAAAATTCATTAGTCGGTGGTGTGTCGCATTTTAATTTCGACATTTTTTTGAGTTTCAAACGATTTTCAGTGTACTCTAAAGAGACAAGAGAAGAAAAGCGGTACTTTTTGACATCGTGAACGCGTTCTTCTTTTTCTATTTCATATCGTACAAAAAACGAACGCAGAACTTTTTTTTTTCTTCCGTTTCCATTTGCAATAAATCAATGGAAATCCAAAACGAAAACAAGTGCTGACAGACATTTGTGCAAAACTCGGATGACTTCAATCGCCTAAAGTCGATAATTATATCAAATACCCAGATAATTAGCGCACATCTAAATCGGACAACGATTTTTTTTTTGTTGGTTTGACGTATTCAAAAGTGCATGTTAAATTGTGAACAAATTTGTGACTATTTGTTTTTGCTTCATACATATTTAAATTGAAACTGAATTTCCGTTCAATTTTGACGGATAAAACGCCAAGGTAATTCACAAATTTTCATACAAACGAAATATTTATAGATTAACAATTGTGAGTGCTGTTTTATTTGTTGTTGTTAATGTTATCTGTCCGAAAAATTTCTCAGTCAGACACTTTGATTTCATGGCAACTTCCTTGTACGGCTTCGTGGTAGATAAATGGAATTTTGCGTGTTTTTTTCCCTCTATACATTCAACAGTTTTTCGGCTTTCGAGTGAAATTGGTGTAAAATCCCATCAAACAGATGGTCGCAGACAGTTTTGACTCAAAACTGTTTGAGTCTATTTTGGTTTTCGCGCGCATTTCTATTATGATCTCTCTCGATACACTCTCTCTATTACTCTGTTTCTCTCCCTTTTTCGATCACCTCACGCGCACACGCGCACATTGAGCGTCATTCTAAGCCAATGCGTGACTTACTTCGAAATCGACTTACATCGTTAAATGTATGTAACGAGCACAGTTTGTGTTTGAAAAACTGTTACTTTTTTTTCCATTCTCGGTAATACCAAGGAGACATGTTTTTTTATACATATATTCACAATGTATATCGTTTACACAACAGCAGATGTGTTTTTTTTTTGTTAGATTTATTGACGTAGAAGTCTGTTAAATTGACATGAATCACCGTATGATATTGAGCTATTATGAAAATAAAATCATTTGTTACGATCATTCATTCAGTTCCTGTGTTCATTCAAATATTGTTGTTTTTCGTATTTATTTACGTAGAGTAATTCTGTCACTGAAGAAGTATTGTATTGAAATTTGTTTTTGTCATTTGATGTTTTTTCTCCCTCTACAAAATTTCTTTTTCATAGCTGGTTAATTGATTTTTGTTTCGTATTGTTTTAGTTTCTGATAAAGCCGTTTATCTTGAATATGCGTTTTTCCCCGGTGAAACAGAAAAAAAGAACATGCATTTTATTTGTTTTGCAATTTTGCATCTTTGTGCTTCCTTCTTTGATAATAATCATTTTTTCTGTTTTCTTCTCTATTTTGTAATCTGTTTGGCAGAAAACAAAGCGAGAATTAGGACGTAAAAGTGAAAAAAAAACACATACACACACACAAAGACAACAGACACAATTCCGAGAGGCAGAGAAGGAAAAATAGCAAAATCGTTACAATGGCTGAGAATAAGAGTGGCAAAAAAGGTGAGTTGTTCAATGACATTTTAATTACACCCCAGTTCTGTTTTCTTTCTTGTTCGAACTTTCAATCGCAATAATTGTCTGTTGCGATGGGCGAAAGTAATCGAAAGCGAGAAGAAAATGAAATACGGTTTTTTTTATCGCGAAACTATAGTTCGAATGACGTTTGTGTAAACAGATGCCAATTTGGCCCAACAATAATGCCATTTATCAGACTCCCCTAATGATGATGAACAAAATAGAGAAGGAAAAAAAAAACGAAATAAAAGCGCGGAATTCAATTTCTTCTTGGAATTTGGCCGGTAATCAAACGTTTATTCACACGTATCGATTGAATTGGAAAATCGGATAATCGCCTCCAAATTACCGTTCATCGCCAATTATTGTCCAATTGTCTATTTGCTCTATTATTTATCTCTCTCTCTCTCTCTCTCTCAATTTGTTTCTTCTTACCTTTTTTCCTCGAAGTCGGTGACACCATATTTAATAATTGTCGTTCCAACACACACACACTCACTCACTTACAGATTAGGTATTTTCTCGAATCGCCTCTTCTCATCTGGGTTTTTCGATCGCCTCAATTAAAATGACTTATGTTGAGAGCGAACACACGCTCGCGCACTTTCGATTCGCTTGAATTAACAACTTTATTTGTGCCGCGTCTCAATTAACGGAAACGAAAAAAAAGATCCGTATATACAATAAATTGATGGAACTTGAAATGTGTTCGAATAGCTCATTTCTATCAATTAATTGCGGTTTGAGTTAAACAAGCTTTCAATGAAATTAGTGTGAGGGTATGTGTGTGTGTGTGTGTACTTTTCCTCCTTGGATAATCGAATGCAAAAAAGGCATCTGTTTGTGCACGGGGCCTGAGCACGGGGCCATTGTTAATCGAAAGTCAATTCGATTAAAAAATTGAACTTGAATATCCATAATTATTTTATTGTTTTTGATAAGAAAAAATGTTATCGTTGGCGGCGTTGGAACCGCCCAAGTGTTGTGCTTTGGACGATCGGCTCTGGCAATTTGGTTTTTTATTTCTTCTTCTTCTTCTTCTTTTTTCGGTGTTTAATTAATGCAATGCACGCGAAACATTTGGCACTTAACCAGCGGATAACCTCAAACGAAAAATGAATTTAAATATTGCGATGTTTTTTAATCGGTTTGTTTGTTTGCTTGCAAATGAAACATATATTAACCGAGATTTATAATAGATATATATATTTGGTATCTCCGGCGTTTAAAATAAAATTATTCGTTTCGTGTTTGAACACAAATGCTGACCCAAAGCGATAAGAACTTCTTTTTTTTTAATTTGGTCATTAAAATAAAACGTATTTTTTTCTGTTGCTGACGCTAATTCACTTCTAAACCGAATCTGTATTGCCGTTCTCGAGTGATGTGAGAGAGAAGAAAAAGGGCAAAGAGAACATGTACGTCGATCAACGATGAAAATCCAACGCGTATGCAAAACGGCTGTAGATACGTAATAACCGTGTATAAGCCATGTGATTGCCAGAAAAACTAATACACCGAATTCTATTGCGATTCGATTTATTTGCACATGAAAATTGACGTAGTGGCCATACTCTGAAAAGACGCGAATGGCACACGGGGATTAGAACACAGAATGAGAGTTTGAGCGAGCGTGCGAGACGTGAAAACAGACAGATACACGATGTCGTGCGAATAGCGATTTTGTTTTACGTTCTGTTCATTCATATTTTTAGATTATTTGTGCAAATATTGAGATTCTTTCAGTTTTGCGTTACGTTCAAAGCGTTTTCAAAAAGAAAGAATAAAAAACACATGCTAAACAGATAAGTTTGAAGTAATTTATCATTATAGACACATGGATACACAACATTTTGTAATTCTATAACCGTTTTTTCTCTCTTCTTTTCGTGTTTGTGTGTACACGCTTTTATCGGCCAATTTTTTATTATATCTGCAATAATGGCCTTCTTTCAGAGTGTTCACACTCATGCGACTTTGCCACTATCATGTGCCCGTATCATATTTCTAGACTGTTGTCTCCTCTATCAATCGTTTAAAATAACATTAATTTATGGAGATTACTTGTATGCTTTACAATGATCTTATTTCACTCCGCCTTTTTTCCGTTTTGCATTTAATGCTCTCTTTTTTTTTCGTCGATCGATTAATAATAATAATCCGTAGTAAAAATGTAAATTAAGTTTGATGGATGCTGTTTTGTTGTGGCGTGTGCTATAATAAACGGGCAGCCTTAAATAATTTTCTAGCTGCGAATACATGTGTCGCCGTAATCGTTGTCGTCGTCGTCGTTGTTGTTGATGCTTCCACCGTTGCCGTCGCCGATGCGTGTGTTTTTGTGTCTGAGTGTATAAACGATTTGACTCAAATTAAATGCCGGGCATTTTAATTGGTTTTCATTCTCGATTCTTATTACATATTTTGTAACGAAAAAAAAAAATTAATATTATTATTACTAAGATTTCAAATGCAAGGGCCTTTTATATTCCGTTAGCATTGACAAACTGGATCACACAGTCATCAAATCAATAAATTCATGCCATTCATTCCGTGTCACGAATGCACAATGACATTTTGACTTGTACCATATCTCGGTCGTTTGTTCGCCCGCTGCGACACAGCTACTGAACAAACTGAATCAGCCCCGCAAGTCAATGGAAATAAATTGCTTTTGTTTTCAATAAAAATGTTCTTACGAAAACAATGGGGACAAAACAAAATTCCGTCTTGACAACACTATTTCCCTTTGTAGGAAAATTACCCGCGAGTGACGAGCGAGAGGGAGAGCGAGAGAGAGAGAGAGAGAGAGAGTGAATGAGATTGTGACTCTGTCATTGTAATACACATGAGATCGAGAGCGAATAGCAAAACAAAGACAACAGAATCAAAGCTTTCCTGTAACAGATAAACCAAATGATTGATTTATAGAAACGTATCAAATGCAAGCAACAATTGTTTGATGAATGTGCGCTTTCGATGAATGCGGTTTGCCTTTTCGAATAAAATAAGATGAAAAATAAACACACGCACACACACGATAGTGAATCGATTACATAGGAGCTATTTTAAAAATAGATTCCTTATATCTTTGGCGCACTGCAAATATAAATGACGACGGCGACGACAAACGAAGAAAAATAGAAGAGAATCTCACTCTCTCTCTCTCTCTCTTTCTGTACCGCGCGCGTCCGTTGCGAACAGGATTTTCAGTTTTTCTCGGCTCTTCATCAACAACAATACTTCGTTTTTCTCTCTCTCTTTGTCAATACACGCTGTAGCTGTTGTTGTTGATTTAACACGAATGTCAGTCTGTTGCTATACATTTCTTTTGTCACTACTCTATTCTATTGATGTCGGTCGTACAAACACACATTGAGATCGACCAACGAGCGTTCGCGACGTCAGCACAGACTGTGGGTGCGTCACTATCACACATTCACACACAACATATCACTTGGCGCTTTCAATAAACAGTCGATTGCATGAATTTAAATAATAATCAACAACAACAACAACGGCAGCAGCAGTGAGAGAGCACTTGTTACTTGTTGCTACTTCTGTTACTTGTTACATGTCCGTGTGCGTGCGCGCGCGCATGCTTTCCGTTGCTCGTTCACTCGGTGTGTACAATGACATATTCATGTGATACGCGGAATACACGAGGCGATCGCGTTTCTGGGCATTTTGTATTATTTATTCGCTATGGGTAAAACAAAAATTGTTTTGTTCATTAACAAAACCTTTAAATTATACAAATATTTTGCTTGTTGTTTGGAAAACGAACAAACGTAACAACAACTCGCTAAAAGAGGGAGAGAGGGAGAAACCTGCGAGTGGCCTGTATTCCGCGTACGAAAAGAACCGTAAAATCATTGCTCACACATTTTTTCACGTTCGTTTCGATTGTTTCGATTCGTTCAGTGCTAATTTGTTTTATTTACATAAAATATATATCGACGCCGAAGTCGCAGACTTTTTTATCTCAATAGTTTCAGTTGTTATTCAAATGAATTTTTAAACACATTTTATGCTCTGTATGTTTCTCTCCCTATCTTATGGAAGCGTGCTTAGTTTCAAGCCAAATTCAATCACTGCCATTTGTTTTTGAAATGAATAAAAAATTGATTCGTCCGACGATGTTTAAGTAGTTGACTTTGCTGAAGATTTTTTTTTCTCTTTTTTCTTTTCAGAATTTTTATCATGTCGACAAGTGCTCAATATTATGGTCATATTAGGCTTTATGTTAAATTATGCGCTGCGTGTGAATTTAACAATTGCCATTGTGGCAATGGTCGACGAACCAAAGGGCACCTCAACACACGTCTCAAACTCAACCTCGCCACTCACCATTAACGATACATATTCGTATAAGACTCATGCAAAAGAGGAACTCACCTCAGCATCACACACACTACTCACTACCGCAGCACCAGAACCATTCCAAAACACTACTGATAAAGTAAGTACAAGCGATTTGTTGTTGTTGCCTTCTTTTTCTTTAATCAAAACAAAAAGTTATTTTCAAGTCTGAACGAAATAAGGAATCAGAGAGGGCAAAAACCCAAACTTTGTAATGTGAATAACCTGCATAGCAATTTTCATCGACCCGCAACAACAACAACAACAAAAAAAGAGCAAAAAAATACCAAAACACCAAACAAGAACATAATACGAAAATGGTCAAATACCGGTGATTTATTGGTTTTCGACACAATTCCGCCAAATTCTTAATTCAAACGGACACCACCAACCGGTATTAATCGCGCTTTCGCTCCGTTGTTTTTTCTCCCTTTTTTTATCCACATTTTCGTCGCAGTCGTTGTGATGAAGATGAGTTTTTTTCTCTTCTACTTTGTATCGGTCTGCATATATGTGCTTTTGGTGTGTATGCAACGAAAGTTGCATATATCGCAATTCACAACGTCAATTTCAACACGCAATCATTTTTAATCTGTCTGGAATCGCTATCGCACATTATTACGTTATAGTACGATGCAATATATGTGCGGCGATCGGATTTTGCATCATTCGATGTGATTCGGTGCGGTCGATATTACGTAGTAGTTCATGTTCATGGACTTTGTTGCTTTCGTCGTTTATTCGTTGTTGTTGCTCTTTTTTTTGGTTGACTGCTGCGCTGCGTTTCACTGAATTATTATCAATACTTGTGTGTGTATGGCGGTTTAATTTTTTTTTCTACTCGACTGTCTCATTTAGTTCAGAAAGTTGGTCGTGTTATCAGCCAAATGACACTCAGCCCATTTATATACGAGAAATAATTATAATTAGAATTGATTTTTTTCACACCATTTTCTACATACGGAAATTTCCGTAGTAAATTCTCAATGAATTGCTTGTTGTTGTCTACTTGATTGATTAATTTATGTTATGTACTTTTCCACGATTACAGCCAGCGACAGCCAAAGCAAGTGATGGATTTAAATTCAAATGGAACACCGTGGAGCAGAATATTATTTTGGGCAGCTTCTTCTGGGGCTATGTGCTGACAGAGTATGAAATTTAACTATGTTTTAACTGCGCCGAAAACGAACGGTAATTTTCAATTCCAATTCACTAATTTTTTTCGTCTTCTTCTTGTCTACAAAAAAAAAACGCTAAATTAGATTACCAGGAGGCCGATTGGCTGAATTGATCGGTGGACATCGTGTCTTTGGTCACAGCATGCTTTGGGCCAGTGTACTCACTCTGATCACCCCATGTGCAGCCTTCATTGATTACAAAGCCCTTGTTATTGTTCGGGCACTGCTCGGTTTCATGTTGGGTAAGTTTCCCTCTCTCTCACCTCACCAGGTGATACCACCACCAATATCTTCGACCAAAATCAGAAAAAGTCTGCACATTTTCGAATAAGTATATCTGGTTTTATTAGGATTTTATCTGATCATTTTGGGAAATATATCTGACCGTTTCGGACAAGTTTGTCTGTCAAAAGCAGAAAAATAGTGAATCCATTTTTCTCTGCTCAATCTAGAGTTTTCTCTGACTTTTTTTGGAATTTATCTGGACAAATTGGAATAAAATTATCTGCTCAAATTGTCATTCTTGTCGGGCCAAATTAGAAAATCTTCGGTTCAATTTAGACTCTATCTGACCACTTTAGAATGAACCCCAGAAAACCACACAATCGATCGCAATACAATTTATCTATCTAATTGAATGTTTGTTGCTAATTTTATTATCTTTTGTTTGCTCATTATTTTGATGACACCGTCTGACTACTCGATAGTTGTAGCTTCCATCGCATTTTAATTAAATTGAAATTATCATACAAACTGACTTCTTTTGGATGTGTCATTTTATTGGTTTTATTTATTATCACCATGATTTTAGCATGTGATAACCATCGATTGTGCACCGTGTGCTGTTTAATTTATTTTGTTTGGTGCGATGAATTCGGCAGAATCGAATAGGTGCTAATTCTTTATTTGTTCTTGTATTTATAATTTTTTTTTTCTACCTGCAGGTGCTTCATGGCCAGCCATTCATCCGATGACAGCTGTTTGGATCCCTCCAGTCGATCGATCAAAATTCATGGCAAACATGATGGCTTCATCACTTGGAGCCGCCGCCGCTATGCCAATTTGCGGATTTCTAATCGAATACATCAACTGGCAATCAACATTCTACTTCACAGGTACGGTTCAAGGATATATGTTAAGCCACGCGAAAATATTATCGCGTGACACATTCTTTCTCATTTCCAAAAATCCCAATCGCATTTTTGTACATATATCTCCGCCCCACCAAATCCGGCATTTATTTCGCTGGAATTGAAAAATTATTACCTGAAAACATGAAATATCGTCGCGGTTTTTCGTCTCATTGAACATTTTGCAGGCAGGATATATTCAGAGAATTTTCAGTTTCTATATTTGTTATTCAACAATTTTTTTTTCTCGATTTGAGCACACCGAGAGAGAGAGGATCAATGAAGAGAAAAAAAAAATTGAAACCGGTTTCAGAACATTGTCGCCACATAATTTCTACCTCATTTGACTTTTTCTACTACTGAACAAATCCGCACGAAACGAAACCAGTAGAACCAGTGAATCATAACACCGACAATCATACGTAATTCGCATTTTTCTCTCCGTTTTATGCACGCATACATTGCGCACACCGCAGATTTTGAATTCCAGCTGCTAATTTTTACCCATCTCCCACTTCTTTCCAAGAGCGACAAGCAGTGCGCCAAAGGCATGGTTTAACACGCATAATTAAAACACAAGACAAAAAAATCCAATACATCTCAAGTGTGTGTGTGTGTGTGTTTAAGTGGTTTGAGTTCAAAGACAGTAAGAGATAGATATATATATAATATAAGTAGCTAATAAAATGCCATGCGCTGGGGGCGGAGATTATTTATCTGGTTTTTATTATTGAAATAAAACTCTGAATCAATTTAGAGAAGTGATAAAAAAAACGCTTAAATGATTCATTAAATTCAATATTGGAAAAACCTATTGAGATCAAACTCACGCCGTTGACATTAATCTAAACTAATGACTTCAAATGATTACCTAATTACTTTGAAATTATAACTTAGTTGGAAATACTGATAGAATAATACAGGTGAACATAGCTTCAAAAAATTGTTCATCCACTGCATTCGGCTAACAAATTGCTATTTCATCGTTGAAGTTCAAATGAATCAAGCTAATGCATCACATTTAGCCTATGATTGCTAATTATTTTAATGAGATAGGGGCAATGAATCTTTTTGGCGCCGAATTATCTTTTTTCAAATATTTTTGACGATTGAATGCTTCAAATTCAATTTTTGAATCGACATTGTTGAATTTTTTTTTTTATAGATTTGCAATAGTGCCTCTATTGGAAATAGTGGAAATACCACCTTGAAAATAGTGCCTCTATTTGATTCAATTGATCAATAGTTTACAATAATCGTAAAATCATTCTTAATTTTTATTCCCAGGTGGTATTGGTTTACTGTGGTCAATTGTGTGGTTCTGGATAATTTTCGAAACACCAGCCGTGCATCCACGCATTTCGCCCGAGGAGCGAAAGGAGATTGAAGATGCAATTGGAACCACAACATCAAAGAAGAAGCCAACTTACGTTCCATGGCGGAGTATTTTGACAGCGCCCTGTGTCTGGGCCATTATTCTGACGCATGGAACCTCAGTGTTCGGCTACTTTACCATCGTGAATCAATTGCCAACATACATGAAATACATCCTACACTACGATATCAAATCGGTGAGTGAACGTAAATTGTTGTGTCTTTTGTTCGTTTATTTGTTTACAATTCGGCAAAACAATCGTTAAAACGTAGAGGTCGACAATCATCGTCGATTATTCCAACAATTGGTATCTCACTAGAACGCGCACGCGTTACCAAAGAAACCGTACTTTGGTCAGCTATTTATTTTGACTGTCTCAATCTGATTTGTTTATACAATTACGTTTGAGTACGCTTGAAATTATCACTGACAAATAAACAGAAGAAGAAGAAGAGGAAAAAAAATAGAGCAGGAAAGATTTTTTATGCTTCTGTTGTCTGTCGCTTTTTTTTCTAATCACGACTCATCTTATTCATTTGTGTTTGTACATTTTTTTCATTCGCAGAATGGATTGTTGTCATCGTTGCCCTACTTGGGTAAATACGTTATGGCTGTGCTTGCATCGGCATTGGCCGATCATTTGCGTCGGACGGGCGCATTGACGACAACTCAAACGCGCAAAATATTCACAACATTTGCCACCATGACGCCCGGTTTTTTGATGATCGTACAAGTGTTTTTGGGCTATGATCGTACATGGTCTGTGATAATTTTCACCACACAACTCTTCCTCAATGGCGCTGTGACGGCCGGTTATTTGGGTAATGGCCTTGATATCGCACCCAATTTCTCTGGTACAATCTTTGGTCTAGCAAATACATTGTCATCGATCGGAGGATATGTTAGTACCTTTATGGTCGGTACACTGACAGCTGATAACGTAAGTATAGCCAATTTCCAATTCTTCTGATGCCATTTTTTTTTCATTTCAATTCGCTGGAAACACATGATTTCTGAAGATCAACTTAAAAATTCATTCCAAGCACATTCTCTTTCTTCAACGAAATTTTCACTCGAAAATCTAATTGAATTTTAATTGTACCAACAGAACACGTACGGACAGTGGCAAATTGTGTTTGGAATTTTGGCTGCATCGTACATATTCGGCTCGTTGGCTTTCTTATTTATGGGAACTGGTGAACTACAGCCATGGAATAACCCACCAGAACGAATCAATCGTCCAATTCATGACACGGAAGAAGCACTTCCATTGAAGAAAGACAATGTTATCACGTCAACTAAATAACAACCCAGCTAATGGCAGCAAACCAACAAAAACATACAACAAATAAGACAATACGCTTTTTTTGGTATTAGAAACCAAATACCAGACATCTAACACAGACGAAAAGCAAAGACAAAACCCTTTTTAGTAAATTGTGTCATTCGATTGGCACAATTTCGATTTGTATACAATCTAAAATCGTGATTCCGATTCACAACGGACGTTGGATAGAAACGAAAATGTGGAGAAATTTTATTGCTTGAAAATCCAGCGAGAGTGAGCGTTCGCGTCTATTCGATGGAACGGCCAACCGTACCTTTTATCAGATATGTATGTGTATCTTTGATTTTAGTTCTCATCCCTATCAGCGATCGCATAATATGACTTTTACAATGCTGTTTTTTCATTGTACAAATAGAAAAATGAGAAAATTTATATAATTTGAACCGGTAAAATTGACGACGTTATTTTAAATGTAATAACAGTATTTTTGTATTTTAAATGGAAGATTGTATTATGGCGCCTGAAAAGTGATTAAATGCATGTTATAATACTATTTAATAATAATCAATGAACAACAAACAAAAAAAATCAGAAAAAAATGTAATAGAAAAATGGGCAGCAAATAATTCTTGTTTCAGTAGAAGAAAAAAAATATCTTATCACACAGTGCGATTAGAATACGTATACCATCGGATTGAGAACAATGACTGACTACCTCGAAGTACACTCATTTTATGTGTAAACAATGTCTTTGTCTAATTGAATGGTACAAAAAAAAATGAGTAAAAAATTATGAAAATAGAAGAAGAAGAAAAAAACAACTGTCTAGCGGATACATCAAACGCATTTGTCTATTGGCACATGTGTACGCATGATGCCGATCTCAAGTGCATCACACAAACAAACACTGTGACAAAACATATCAAAATTCTTTTATGAATTTATTTCAAGAGCTTGACACAAAATTTATTATACGTCTTAAACCAAAATTGCTTTTTTTTCAATTAGAAATTCTCTTTGTATCGTTTGGTTACCTAAATAAACCATTTGCGGAGAAATCCAATGTACAGCGGAGCTGTGCGGAGTTTGGCAGGGATACCGTACATACGCTATACGTGTGAGCGAAACAGCTCTCTTTGCTGTGTTTACATTTCTATTGTTCAATACACATCTAAAAAGCCATGAGCGCACTGCTTAAGATATAGTGTATGTATGGCATCTCCGCCGAACTCCGCACTGCTCTGCTGTGCACATAATTTCTCCGCAAATGTTTCACATGGGTAGAAGCAACATAAATGTGACAACAATAAAACATTTTCTATCTTTTTTTTGTTGCAATTCAAATTTTAACTAAGCAAAACATCATTCGTTTTTAACTCTTTGTTCTACTTAATTCATTTCACATTGAAACGATTTTTAATAAATCATTGTAATTAATTTATTGTAAAAAAAAACATAACTAAATGGTATACACAAAACGAAACAAAAAACAAATGTTGAGGAGAGCATCCAAAATGAATGTTCTCAAAATAAAGTTCCACTACATCCAAAACAAGCACAATTACACAGATTCAATCACAATGAACAAAAAAAACTTGTAAAATTATTATAAATATTTTGATCAAAATCTAATAAAATGAATTCAAAACGAACAAATTTTATAGAAAAAAAATCTCGTTATTTTGTGTTTGATTCAATTTTATTACAGGATTTCGTCAAATGAAAAATCTCATTTTGAATCATAGCCAAGCACTCAAAATGATACAATTGAAAAAATTGAATTACCTATTTACACGTTTTATGATTGTTATCGTGATATCGATGATAACCCCTCGCAAATAATGAATCCGATGTGGAAATTCCGATTGCAATCAGCTCAATTTTTGCTACTCAATCAACGCATATCAATAGTACGTCTGCTTAGTTTAAAATCCATCCAATTGATAATGGCTTGCGTTGAGCGTGAGACGAGACACAAATAAGTGGAATTATCTTTGACTCATTCATTGAAAATATATGATTCAAGTCAAGTGTTGATGGAATGAAGGTACAATTTTAGAATTTTGAATCATTGACGAATTTGTTCATCAAAGAAGAAATTTGAAAGAAGGTAGCACGACATGTGCCAAGGTGATAACTCGGTATTTAGTCACAAGGCCATGATGAAATACGTCATTTCACAAAATGTTGTTCAAATTTAATCATTTTTTTTTTTAATCAGAATCGATTCTGTTTGCACTGATTCATAGAAAAATGTGATGATTGAAATGCATTTTTCCACTAAATTCACATTACTGAGATTATATAGAAATTTTCTCGAAATAATCATTTCGAAGGAAATTGATAACAGTTTTTCAGAAGAAAAAAATGTGTGATGAGCTAACCGGATCAGTAATTTTTGTCGTGATAAAAGAAATTCCAGAGTTAAACGAACTCAGAGGGCTTGATCTTTTCCATGAATCATGTTCGATTTCTCATCAACAGACACCGACTGACCTGATGCAAAGTTTGCATTGCTAACTAGACGTTCGTTTCAATTGGAAAATCGATGACAAAAATGAAGAAATCTCTTTCTTCTTAGAAGAGAAAATAAACAATCCTATAGAAAACAGATCTCAGAAAAAACACGCAATCAATTTGTATACATTTCTTCAGATATTTCTATTTATTTTGCATTTATTAAATTTATTTTAAATGGATAATGAAGAATATACAAGATAAATTTTTTGTTTCCTTTACATTTTTTTGGATGTGTTGTTTATTACTGTGTTTTTTTTTTCTTTAATTTTTTCCGTTGTATTTGCATTCATCGATTTTTATAGATACAATTTGTTACGGGTTTGTTGTTTTAATAAATTTACTTATGGAATAGAGTGTGTATTACAAAAATCAGTTTCGTCAACTGTCAAAATGTGTGCACAAACAAATACCGCGAATTAAATTGATTCTTCTGCTTCATTGGTATTTGCATTCAAATAAGAAGAGAAAGAAACAAACAAAAATATACTAAACAAATACCGACGGATCATTAGAATACTGCGTGCTCGCGTTCAAATAAATAATATTTCAATAGTGTCAACTGAATTCTGTTTGTGCTCTGTATTGTGTATGTGTGTTTGCATTTTGTGTGTGTCTCTCTGTGTTGCTTAAATACGTTTTTTTTTTCTTTATTAAATTAAGTAATAAATTTCATATAACATGTTTACACCACTTCACTTATTCCATATTTATTTAATATTTCTTGTTGTTTTTCTTTAAATACGTGATAGGTTTTTGTGTCATTTGTGTCTTAATTTCAAACTTTCCTCGATCAATTGTTATTCATTTTATACAGACGATATTTAATTTTATAATACATTTAATTTAGTGAATTCTCTTTAAACTCAAATACACATGCTGTCTCTTTCGAACAATTACACGATCAAAAATTACAAGAAAAAAAAATTATTCTTCTGATTTGCTGTGCTTTTACATACATTTGTTTGCTCTAATACTTAATTTATTTATTATGCTCTTTGCTTTATTTAGCCTCCATTTTTTTATCTCTCTTGCCAACGTATATTTATGATATGAATTTTGGCGAATTTTTCACTTAACTTTGTGTTTGTCGGCATTTCTACTGGACGAAAAAACTTCTTTTGAATTGCTGCAAAATAAACTAAACAAAACTAATAACTAATGTTTCTCTCTTTTTATTCACAAAATGTCAACAGTTATTGCAATTGGTTTTGTAGTTTAATGCCACGAATTTTCGTTTTGTTTCTCGAATGATGCATTTTTTTGTTCGTTTAAACGTATACGGCTGGTTTCTTTAGAATCTTAACTGTCATTATTTTTCTTCTCTCAATGTTTTTCATTCGCAAAATATTTTCTGTTAATTCCTTCGATATGTTCTGCTCGTATTGAAATCTCATCATCATTCGGCATCAAAATTAAAATCAGACAACAAATAATTATGATTTCTAAAATTGCGGCTGAGATTTTGATTATGCTAAAGTAAAGCTGCCCTGGATCAAAAACTGTACAGTTTTCGTCACAAAAACTACTCTACAGATCATCAGTTTGTTTTTCTGTGTGTGGTTTTCGGATTAAAAAAAAAATTTGCTATGGCTTTATGCATCAAATGTGCTGGCATCAATGTAAATACATTACTATAGGTACTATTGGATTCATTTTCAGTGTAAAAATGTAAACTGGATCTGGTTTTGAAAGAAAAATTGAGTGTCGACTTTGAATTTTCATATGATTTATTTTGGAATTTAATTTTCTGAATAAAAAAAACGCAAAAATACGGCCCTGTTTCTCATTCAATAAAAAAAGGTAATTTTTTGATTATCGAAATTTCGTTTTACTTCGCACAAATTAGGAACTCAAAAAGCAATCCACACTCTTTTCCTCACGCAGATTACAACATATTTTGTTCTATGTTCGTCAATTGATAAATATGTTCATTCCACTGAAGGATTTCATCTTGATTACCTTCGTTTACAGAAAATTTTGTTTCGAACTTTAATTTAGTTTCAGCCAAACAATTCCATCAGCTCAAGCCATTTAGGAATTGAGCCATTTTGAAAGAGTTTGTTCAAGAAACAAGTTTGAAATTTCGAAAAGAAACATTTTTTTAGGTAATTTATCAATGAAGGAGCATAGATCGTTGCTTTTCTGAACAAAAAAAAAAATCAAAAATGCGTATGTGCGTGAGAAGAAGATGTGGCTAATACTTCAATCTGTCTTTCTTTCCATTGGCATGTTTTTTCTCTAGTATTTCTATTCCATTTGGGCATCCCCCAGGAGAGAGAGAGAGCACTATTTTTGGTATGTGAAAAAAAGACAAATGAACTTAAGTATAAAATTTTATTGATCTCATTGTGAATTTTCATCATCATCAGCCGATTCTCGATATTTATACGGTCTAGAATTCTAACTTCAGCTAAATTGTAATGTATAATAACAGCTTCTTCATCATCATTATTCTCCCTTATTTTCATTCCGTCTGCATGTATCATCAATATTATTTTTTACATTTCACAAGTGACATTTAAAGTTAAATTAATCTACTTAATTTTATATACATTTGCATTTGTGTCTGCTTTCGCTAGTTCCATAGTACTATTTAGCCTTCATTTTGGCTTTTACATCATTTTTCTTTATGTTCATTGATCATATTTGCCATTAATGTTTCTTCGATGATTTCTTTTCTTTTCGTTTATTTTGCTATGTTCATAAATTTTAACCTTAATCTGTCTAGTTTCTTTTCTTCTTGTTTATGTTTTTTTTTTAAAAAGAACAAAACCATAAAAATGTATTCGTAAACGGTATTAGGAACTAATTGTTTCAAAAAGAAAAAAAAAATTAAGTGAAAAGAAGTGAAAGAAATTTATCATTCGAATATAGTATTAGTACCGGTATTAAAAGAATTGCACTGTGACACATTCTGATTTATATGTCATCGACGGAATTTCACATCGGTTCTAATTCTATCTTGTGTATGTGTAGGTGTCTTGCTGGTTTTGAAACGAGAAAATTAGAAAAGCGAAGAAAATTGTTCTGACATAGACGATTCGGTTCGATTTTCTTTTCTATTTTATGTTTTGTTTCAATTCGGATTTGTATTTGAGATTTTTAAAAAACAATTGTTTAGGAACTTTGAATAAATGTCGGTTTCTACTGCATGTGTGTTTCCATGTTATGTCTCTTCAAATACCTTCGCATACATTTAAATGTGTGTGTGTGTGTATTTGATTTTACTTTCCATTGTATTTTTCTCGATTCGAACTATTTAAGTTATCAAAAAACATTGAACGTTTAATAAATTCTTGGTTTTTCCCATTGCGATATGATTGGAAAAATTTTCGTATGAATGTTTTGTCAGTTGATGTGTGTTGATTTCCTGGTGAAAGGGTTCAGTTCGTTATTTGGCGACCAAATCGGCTGTTCAACTGCATTTTGAATGATGGGATCTATGGTTTAAGCAGGTCATTCCGATTTTAGGCTGGAAATTTGCGTGTAATGTTGTTGCAAATTCGGCGATAGAGCTGGCAACCATGAGAGACTGCCGCTTCCATTTCCACCGGTCGGACTCTCGGAACCCGGCGGATTGATACGCTTCTCTTTTTGGCGACGATTGCAGAACCATACGCGCACTACTTCCTTTTCCATATACAATCGATCGGCTAATTTTGTGATTTCTTCACTTGTCGGTTTTGGATTCAAGTGGAAATTTTTCTCCAAAGCACCACGCACCGATGTCTCAATCGAGGTACGCTTCTTGCGTCGTCGACCAATCGTCTCGGGCGTTGTCAATGGATTGCTTAGTGTACTTGTACCGAAGATGCTATAACAAATGAAGAGGCAGAGAAAAAAAACGAAATTCAAAAGTCGAAACAAATACAGAGAAGAAGAAAAGAAAAAAAATGGCAAAAAATCGAATTGTTCTACTTACCCGCCCGGATTGGAAATGCTATTATCGGCGTCTTCAAGCCATTTTTGAAGCAGTGGCTTCAGTTTGCACATGTTTTTAAAGCTAAGATTGAGAGCTTCAAACCTTGATATGGTCGTTTGTGAAAAGTCATTGCCATAGAGTTTACCCATGGCCAAACCGACATCACCCTGTGTGAAGCCCAATTTGATTCGACGTTGTTTGAATGTTTTTGCAAATTGTTCTAATTCTTCTAAATCGGCTGGTTCCTCTGGTGATGGTTCCAAAGCGCGTGGCATAGCCGAATGTTTTTGCATTTGCGGTGTGTGCGTTCCGGAGCCAGGTGTCGACGGTGTTAGAATTCCGCCAACATTTAGATTTACATTAACATTTGGTGGTGTCGTTTGATTGTTTCCCACTAGAATTGATGTGGGTGTCGGAAGGCCTGGACTGCCTGATGGGCTGTGAACCGGTGAATTTGACATTGTGGCCGATGCTTGGTTTTTAATTTGCTGTTGCTTTTGCAATGCTTGCAATTGCTGTGCTGCCTGGGCCACCTACAAGTAGAAGGAAAATTATTAAAAGCCAATTTCAAATTAAACTATGAAATTTCAAAAGTTTAGTGATGTTAACGTTAAAATTGGTTTCAACGCGATTTAAATTCCAAAATTTGAAACTTAGTGCTTATTAAGAAAAATTCTATTCGAACAACTGTTCTTTTTCCAAAGCAAACTCCATTCGAATAAAACCATATTCTCTGTGTACAAACCTGGAAAAATTGTGCGGTCGCTTGGATTTGTGCATTTGCGGCGCTTGCGTTTTTCTGTGGGCCCAACGTATTGGCACTGCTGTGCAACAGTTCCATATAGTTTTGTAGTTGTTGCTGCAATGAAGCTTGTTGGACTTGTTGGAATGCTTGTGTGAGTGCAGTCAGCTCTTGCGGTGACATGCCGGCCAAATTGCCAAGGCCTAGGTGATTTGGCATCAATAGCGGTCCCAACTGTAATTGGCTTTGCAGTGCGGCTAAAGCAGATGCCATGTTTGTCGTTGGATTTGGTGGTGATGGTGTATTTCTCGACTGGTCGGTAACCTTCAAATCAGAACAAAAGAAAATGCGTCAATAAAAATGGCTTGAATTTTAGGCTTATTTCAATGGAAAAAAATGTAAAGAAAGGGACTTTCCACAATGGCGATTTCCACAAAATTCGCCATATTTCTTTTTTGTTCTGCTAAACTAATTTAAATCATAAATTTGGGATTCAACCCATTAGAATTATGAGATAAGTTAAATATCCGCTTCGAATTATGAATTATACGCTTTCGAATCGCATACAAATTGTCTCAAATTCCATTTTCATTTCATTCGACCGTCATTTGTTCGTTCGATTGGTGTTTCATATTATTTAAGATGAATTTATGTGCGTTTTATTTATTTAACTAATAAGTGACACGCGCCTCCGGCATTTTATTCATCCTTGAACGTTTTATTTAAAATAGAAAAATGCGATAATAAAAATCATTTAGAGGTTTTCCCCCTTCTTGATTCAAAAATGCAGTGCATGAGTGTGTGTGTGTGTTGGTGACGTTGAGAAGGTCGCATAAATTAATCGGTAGTTTTCATCGGTTCGGGGTTTTTATGTACTGGCACTGCATCAAAAGCGAGTTAAGGCCAACCCTTCAACAACTTTACTGTACACATTGTTGAGTATCGGAGGAATATCGTTCATGCGTTACTACCGCATTAACCCTTATTTTACATAAGCAAATGCTGTACGTGCAGCGATGCCCGACATCGATGATGCATTGAATTCGTTAGACAAACTCCCCGTTTGCCATATGAAAAGTTCGCTTTATGTGGGAATTGTTCAATATGCATGGTAAACAGACCGTGTACATTGGTGCAGCATATATTGATGCTTATTATGTGTGCGCACAAATCAACGACGAGGAAAAAAAAAAAGTTAAAAATCCAATGTATCGACTTTAAAAACCAACTCAAAAAAAGTCACAAACGACAACGTTTATCGTGACGTAATCGAAATGCAGTTTAATGCATTCACAAACGAAGTAGTCGCATTGAAATGGGATCGATGCAGTCGCAATATAACTGTTTGTTTGACGAGACATGTTGCGTATTTTTTTCTGTATTTACTCTGGCGCACACACATGGCGAGATCGATGCATTGATTTGCTGTATGCAACGCCAATGAATTCGATTTTTCTCTTAATCTCCCTCGACGCATGTTGTGACTCGCTCGTTCGCTTTCTATCGCATTTCCATTGTGTTCGCTCTCATTTTTGGGTGCAAGTCACTGGTAAATGGCTACCACCCGTTGCTGAGATTTTGCACGATTTCATTCATTTTCGCTTTCAGTTTTTGCTTCGACGCAATTTTAAAATTTAATTTCTTCGCTGGTGTTTTTTTTTTCAACACAAATGGCTGACACATTTTTTTTCGTTTTTTTTATTCCAGCATTTTCTAATGGGGATTTGATCAATTTTTTCTATTCATTGAAATGTTCGTTAAATAGGTTATGGAAACCAAAAAAGTTAACTGATTTATTCTTGACACCGAATTCGGTCGATGCGGGATTGTATCGAACAAATTAAACGACCATATGCTTTTCAATCAATGACACACTCATTTTTATGACGGTTATGGACCATGTATTTTCACATTTTAAATTAAACGCAATGACAATGTTTTGATCAAATTGAACAACTTCGTTAAATAAACAAATTAAATTTTGTGACTAAAAATTGACACCAAATGTGAATAAAAAGCAATTTGTGTACAGCAACTCATCAAGAAAAAGGTCAAACTTACCAAGTGAAGATTTGTGGGTCGCTCGTCTAGATGACAAGGCTCGGGTGATTGCGATTTACCACGCGGGCAACATGAATCATTACTGTCCACATCATCTGAAAAGGAAGCGAAGAAAAAAAAAATCACAGAGTTAAAAACAAATATCCCGACAAACAAATGAACTGCTCTATAAGCAAAAGGGTCAGAAAATAAAGAGACGCTCTTTAGTCAACCGCAAAATGGAAGTGGCTTAAGATGTGTAAGACGATGGATGAAAAAAAATCATCATATTTGAATTTGATGGAAAATTTATATTCACAATGTGCATTTGTGAGCTGCATAACATTTGATCCATGGCTCTGCTCTTCCAATATGACGACGACCGATTCGAGCAGAAAAATGAATGCGATTGTCGATTTGTGAAGAGTTGAATATCGAATGAGGTTTCTCTCTCATGCATAATATTTATTTAAATAGGCACACCGATGATGATGGTGATGCCATATCGAGTGGCTAGATTGAAGTTTCGAACCAAATATCACATATTTATATGGTATGCAATACGGAGATTTCATATGTTTGCCATTGAAAAATCTGTCGAGTATGTAAAATAAATGATTTCCGATTGTGAGTTTTGTGTCCAGGCGAGAATGATACACGTATGTATGGGGTTCATTGCGGCCGATAATTTTTTTCTTTTCGCTCTTGTTCGTGCCGGCTTGAAAATGGTCATCATCTGCGTGTGTTGTGAACATTCATATAAAAATTCCACTGATTTTCCGTTTGTTTTTGTACTCCTGCCAATAATTCAATACGTGCTTCAATTATTCATATTTTTTTTTCCTCCTCTTCTGTCCGGTCGAAATGGTTTTGCATGTTGAAAGCATCGCACACACTCTATTCGTATGCATTCCTTATATACACACACATACACTGCGGTCACAAATGTTTGATTTACGTAAAAATGTAAATTTCATTCCGTTTGCCCTTTTCCGTCATTTTCATCCTTCGATGAAGTTGCACAATACGGTTCGGAATATAAAATTCAAAGCTTTCGTATGCTCTGAAAACGGGCTACTTTTCTCCTGTGTAGTTGGTATGTTCGATATTTCCTCGTTTCGCATGGATGACGAGCGGACGGAGTGAGCCCTGAACACTGATTTGATATCGACTTTATGCAAATCATTGCCAATAAATTCTTCGGCTTTTGATTAAGTGATTTGAATGGTGCTCCGATTTTGATGTTTGCCGATGCACTCGCAAAACAATGAATGAAAACGTGAGAACATTAATGATGCGCCGAGAGCAGTGTGTAGCGCATCGCAGACGATGCAAACAGAAGCTCAAAACCATGCAGACACAATGTCAAGCATAATGAACTAAAGTGCATTGAAGAACAAAAGCCATCGAGTAACAATGTCCGGAGTAGAAATGAGTTTTTTACAAGTTCGTAGAAAATCGAACTGAAGCATGAATTTGAAGAATTGATCGGAATTTGTCCGTTCGTCTTTGACGCATGTGGATTTTTAGGAGTTTTTGATTTTAGAAAAAAAAAAACAATTTTTGATTCAATTTTTTCTTTTCTGGTTTGAAATTTTTTATTCAACTTTGAAAAAACGTTCTTCAAATTTTCAAGAGATCACCACAAACCCTAATCTAAATGGCAAACTATAGTAAAAAAAATTCACCAATTCATTGTTGTAAACTGACCACAAAAAGAATCAAAATTAATTTAACTTCAATTTTTTCCTGTGCATAATACAAACTGTGTGCACACATAAAAAGAGACGCCATTTACATTTTGCCATTCTGTTTGTGACTTTATCTGCTGGAGGATGATATAGCAAATGTGTTTCGACAACAATACTGTCATTGCCTGCAGCCGATATATTCAATCTTCCGACTGAATGAGTTTTGGCTTATCATGTTGTCTGCAGCACTGAACACTGAGTGGTCAATTTTTTTCCCTTCTGAATTTGATAGATTCCGTTCGACTATGACCGAACGTCACAAGATCACATCGAATCTGTTTATGTTTATTATACCAGAAAGAAAAAAATGTCGCCAGTGCTTCTTCACTGTGTGAATAATAATGGTATTTCGTGAGTATAATTTTATTATTATTTTGGTTTTGTAATTTTGGTTGGATTTTCACTTGATTGGTTTGCACACACCGCATATATAAAGGCGTTTTTATTCACAATCTATTTTCCATTAAATTGAATCGAAAATTCGTTTTTGTGTGAACGGGTGACGATGAGAAATTCACCCCGTTTGGCACATGGTTGCGGCCATATGGAGTTTATGATGTGTGTGAGTGTGAGTAAATGTGTGGTTTCGTGATTTGTTTGCGATGCACACACGATAAATATGTGCACAATATGGACATGAATGACGAAAGGATATTTGTACAAAGGCGATAGGCCCGATAAATGAAATGTTCATTCGACCAACACACTCAACGATTCAATGGCCGAACAAATATGCTGGCGTTCGTATTTACCAAGCCATTGGCATATTTTTGTGACAAATACCAAATTGGTTTTGACTAATCCGTACTTTGTGACCCATTGAAAACTCCATTTTTTCTTCTCTCCTCTAACCCTTTTCCAATCATTTTTCAATTTGTTGCGAGTAAATGTAAAAAAAACGCACTTATCCTTCAAAGAGTCACTTGAAATCAACATTCATAATCAATTCCAACAACGAAAAAAAATGCTAAGTATTTGTGCTTTGAAAAAAAAAGTTCCCCTCTGTTCAGTCGAACGTTTTGTACAAATTTATAGCGATTTTCCACTTAAAAAGCGACGTAAATGCAATATAAATTTAAATAAAATTGACCTAAAGTGGCTTTCAGTCACCTTCATTGGGCTCTATTTTATGGTATACACTTCCACCTGTAGCACAACATCAACCAAGGGAAATGGTTCGACGAAGAAAAAAAAAGGCTCGACATACCCATACGAACATACATTACCGCAGTGAATGAGCGACCTTATTATGCAGAAGGGTGTCGATGATGTGCTCTTTTTTGTCACTCATCCCATACCCTATGCCATACAAAAATATATGCACATACGCACACACTTATTACAATATCAAAAGCATTTTGAATGTAAATTTACCATTGAATTTAGGTGTGTCGATCTAAATACGTCACACTTTGTTGCCGTTGTTACTGTTTTGTATGCATATTGTGACCGTTTTTCAATGGTAATGTGATGCGGTTTCATGTGCGTATTTTGTGCAATGCACAAGGGGAATCCAGCATTTGAATTGAAAATGACGTGTGAATTTAAAAAAAAAACAACAACAACAAGAGACAAGTTGAAAGGTGATTATTCAGTTCACAAGTATTCAATGAATATTCACGCAGGTATTTATGTTATGCGATCGGCATGGAAGATATGGAAAATTCTCCCTTATTCAAAGATCGCATTAATACTCCCACATTTTTTGGTTATGATTGAAAATCGACACTGATTCTGATTGTTCAGGGATCGAGGTAGATTTTTGAATTTTACAACAATTTCTTTCCATTTCTACAAACATTTGCGGTTTGATGGAAAGAAAAAGAGATTAATCCGGTCTAACAACCATCGAATGACAGTTGCATTTTCTAATATTCACATCGTTCGATTACAATCAAATGACCATGTGTTTTTTTTTCACTTTGTACCTGGTCAAAATGCATCACTGCCGTCCGTTTGTCGGGTCATAAAGAAGAAAAGGAGCAGGTTTCAGTTGCTCTGCATTGATTTAGAGGAGAATTTTTTCCGTTTTGCGCAAAGCTATTTGTCTTTCCAAATGCACATAAAAATACATTGTATTAGATGTTGACCATAGGCAGCTGCACTAGACGCATGTATTGCCAATGCCATTTCATTTGAATGCATTTTGCAGCTCATAAGTGCAAGTACATATTTTTTCTTCTTTAAATAACCGAAAAATTAATCATCCCTTGGACAATGGGCACTTTTTCTCTCTTTCGAAAAACTCAAAGAGCGACATGTATCGCAAAACAATAGGAAAATCGTTGCAAACAGCAAGCAGGATGCAGCAAATATGCACATAGCAACCAAATGCAAAGAGAGAGTGGACGAAATAATGCGTATTTGTAGGGATAATGCACCGCACCGTACGTATTAAAATGGTTTCGGCATTTGATGGATTCAAATGTGTGTTTGTGCAAATGCTCTTAAGACTATTTCTTCTTCTTTTTTTTTAGCTGCATGCTGCCCCCGAGAGCACCACATTATTATCCATCGTCATACATATTCAAAATAGAAATTTCATGCTTCAATGGACAATGGAGAAGAAATAACAAAAAATGTGCGTGTATATGTGTGTTTGCATGCAAATAGTCCGAAGAAGAAAAGGCATATGTTTCCTCTAAAATTCGTATGTGTGCAATTCAGTTTGTCCTTTTTATGTAAATTCTATGTTATTTTTTCGTCTTTTTTCTCTGTTTCCTTTGCTTCATTTGCTTAGCCGGCTGCAAAGTGGATATTTGTGTTTGTTTGACGATTTGCTTTGCATACCATATTCGTTCTGACGACAAATCGAAATGTGCGTGCGATTGAGGTTTTTTTTTCGGTTACCTGCTTCGGTTGGGATGCTTGGACATACATTTTTATCTACTTTTGTTTTGTTATATATACTTCAAACACTTATTTCGACGCAGAGTTCTTTTTGTGCCATTTCGTCAACAGTTTTATGGCTTTGGTGTTCAAGGTTAGATGCACTTCTTCCTTGTTTTGCATATCAATTGTTGAAAAAAATTCCAGTTTTTAGATTGTTGTCTTTTCTTTTGTTTTTTCTCTCGAAAAGCCACAAATACGTACTTACGAGTGTACTTTCGACAGGCAGTAATTTGCTCCGGTTGTAAAATCGCCGTTATTTCTCCATGCAAAAAAAAAACTTATGCAACTTTTGTTGTTCATATGTTTCCAACACATTTCACAAGAATCATAAAAAAGTGAGAAATTCAAAACAACATTTCACTTGAGGGTTGGTGATGATGGTGGTTCGAGGTAAGAAATTTATGTAATTGCTTATTGCAAAACAGACGGATCAATTTATCTGTCTTGTACACAAATAAACATCACATTCTTTATGACAGTTGATGAATTTGCCTTATGATTGATTGATATCGCCGCTAATACTCTGTACATATAAATTCACCGAGGGAGCGTTCATCACACATATATTATTATTGTTTATTAAATGGCCGTGACGAAGAACGAAAAATGTGCGCTAATCAAATTCAATTCGTCGCTTTATCGGATTCGTTCGGTGGAATATCACCACGCGTACAACGCAAAACTCTTATTTGCTGAGGCAAACGGAGACTGATCGATTGGCTTGAAATAGCATTTTTAACGGTAGTCTACGATTAATGATTGGGCACGTGCAAATTATGGATTCGACAGAACAAAAAAACAACTCGACTCCCATCATAAATCGTCGCTTCTGAATAATAATCAAAAGGCAATTTGAGTGTGAATTGTCATAGGGATGTGAATGATCGAAAAAATGAAAGACGAATAAAAAGAAAATAAAACAGATTGAACCACCCCACACTATTTTTTCTACTGCATTTGTACCCTTTTAGTCACGAAATTTGGTGGCGCACGAGCGAATCAACTGCTTAATTTCTTGACTTAAGAAGAACCCAATAACCTGCATCGGAAATTGGCTCATGGCAAAATAGAATCAAACTCACGCACAAGCTGTCCCAATGACATTCTCTCGTTTTGGCTGATGTATAAAAAGAGATTAGGTAACGAGGAAGTGTGTTTGACTTGTGTCTTTTGTAATATCCATTTGGCCTACAAATTGTAATGAAACGGCTGTTTCTTCACTTCTCTCCTCTTTCCTTTCGCTTCATCGATTTCAACAACCGCATGCACAACAACTCAAGACGATGAAGAGGAAACGGAATCAACAACATACCATCACAAACACGCGTAACTATGCCTCTTCTTCTTTTTTTCTACTCGAAAAGCGTATTTTTTTCCTTCATGTTCAACAAACGATTTTGTGTTTTTGATGAAGTGAAAAAAAGGAACAACCAGGAAGGGTTTTTTTTTTGTTCGGCAGACAAACAAACATGAACCAAATATTTATGCGTGTGTGTTATTGTTGTGCAAATTTTGTACGATCAAATAGAGAACGCGTGCATGAAAAATCCTTTTTTATTCCGTTTATTTGTTTTCCCTTTTCTCGGTCTCGACTTTTGTCATCTCAAGCATAAGAAAAACAAGCAGAAGGAAACCAGCGGATGAGAGAGAGAGAGAGAGAGAGAGAGCTACTCAATAAAAATGAAGAACGACGCAGACTGATCGATGACGTGTGATATTATTTTATTAGCAGTGGATTGGCGCGATGCATTCTCTCTCTCTCTCTCTCTCCTTCTCTCTCGAGTTCGACATTGAAAGCCGGAATGGGAGGAACATCAGTTTTCGTTTTATGAAGACATTAGACAGGCCAAATGAAATTAAGATGAATTATGTGTCTATGACTATGATGATGATGAGAGGCGATTGGATTCGAAACGGAGTCACAAGACCCCTTGACTTAAAATGTTAACCGCATTTAGATTGGATTTTATCAATAAATTACAACACTTACCGTGTGAAGGTACCGGAGATGGGGATTTGGATAATCGATTCAAATCTGTAGAGAAAAGAGAGAAAAAAATTAAGAGTAAATGTGAGAACAGTTTTCTAAAGTGTTTATAATGGGTTCATTATATTAGTTTGATAATGCAATTACAATGTAATTACAGCCACAACAATTTCCTCTATTTCAAAGGAAAAAAAAACAGTAACTATCTATCAAGTTTCCTAAAATGGTCGATACGAACGAATGAACGAATGAGAAAGAAAAAAAATGAAATGAAAAGGTCAGTGAAAAATTGTAAATTCAATTTTTCCATTTGGAATATAATGATTGTGGTGCATAATTTGATTTAATAAAGGCGAAGAATGCGTTCTTGACTGGCATAGAAATGTTCTTGAGACGCTGCTTGAAACGAGCACAAATGCAGTTTGCAACATTGCATACGAAATAGGGAATGGAAATTTTTTTTTTTCTCCAGACGATTATTTGTTCGAAATGGACTCGGCATTAAGTATATGGTGATTGTGTTCCCCTCGTTCTATCCCCGTACATGGTGCGAAATGTAAGAGAACCAACTTTGGAATATGCAGAACATTTCTTATGAGACATGAATATGCATTAGGTATGTTATAGCATCGCATTGATATTAACACCAGTGGCCTATCTCTAATTCTATTTCGATACCCGGACTTGGTTTTTCCGAGTAAAAACCCATCGTCCAGTACTCGACTGTGCGGTAATATTGGAATGAACGTATCTTTTTTTTCAGCTTCTAGCTGCTTCGTTTCCTGTGGTCGTCTTTATTTTTATGACTCTCATGAGAATCGACTGAATTATGTGAGTGTCTCTTTCTTTTTCTCTGTGTGCTAAACTACAACTTTTCAAACACATCTGCACACACAAATATATATGTATATGCAAGTGTACATCATCTTTAACAACTTTCATCCATTCGATATCTTTCTCTTGCTCTCGATGTTTTTGGCTTTCCACGAATATTTTTGTTTTCAGTCGTCCACTGTATGCAAACATACTCAACAAAAAACATTTGGTCACTTTCGTTGCCATTCATTTCTTATTTATTATTTTGATGCATTACAACCGTATTTATTAGCTGTCGTTTTCGGAGCATGCAGACGATGAAACCCGACTTTGACCATTCGAAATGGTGGCTCTTCGATATAATGACATCCATACATTTTCATTGTGCATTTGCAAATTGTAATAAACGAAGTCGCATTTACCAACCAACATACACATTTAGCTAACACATTGCCTCGCATAAAAAAAGCTGATCAATTCAGTGAGATATGAACGAATGCAGTGCAGACCATTCTTTTTGTTTCACTCCATCATCTGATTACAATCGAAAGAAAGTGCTTAAAATGGTGGAAAAAAAAATATATTTTTGAATGCGTTTTAGTAAAGAATTGCAATGAGTTGAACATATTTTCCGCTTTGCAATGAGTTTTTTTGATTAACATCTTGAAAAAAAAACTGTGGACTTTGTTTTGTATTCTATTTCTCAAAACTTTGATATGATTTGCAAGGGCTTAAAATGATTAGGAACGGCTTATTTTTATTACCTTTTGAATATTTAACATTTTCAGTTCATTTTGAACGAATTTATCCATTTCTTTTGTATTAAAAATTGAATTTCACCCATGAATTTGTCGAAAATATCAAATTCATATTGGTTGCCAGTCAAATATTAAATTATTCAATATGCCGAAAGCCGACAAATGTTCTCGGAAAAAAGAGAAAATCAAGAATGTTCTCATTCATTTGGATCATCTTGCAATTTTCGATGTTGAATCAAAAAACAGTCTGAAGAAGCTATGTCTGGCGTCTGTCGAGCGTGTATTTCTTGAAATATGGTTGTTTTTTTTTATCTCGAAAAAATAGGAAAGAAGAGAGAAAAAAAACCATTGGTAGTCAAACAATAGGTCGATATCTCGATTCGATCCATAGGCAAAATTCATTTTTTTCAAACTTTCGATTTTTTCTCCTTCTTCTTTAATTTTTTTTTTCTCTGGGTCGAAGGCAAACAAGCCCATATCTTTTTTGGGTTGTTCGATTTTGCATTTTGTGCATGGAATATTCAAATTTTCTACCTGCGTTACACAAAAGCCGAAATGCATTCAAAAAAGGAGGCCGAAAAAAATGCACAATATATATGATTTTTTCTTTCTTGGTCGACAACGAACCGACAAAAAATAAGGCGAGAGAGAGAGAGAGAGATTGAACAGTGTTCTCGATAATCAAATAGTAGGAAACGACTTAGAAAACGAAATCTAAAATAACAACAACCAACAAGCGAAAATTAACTAAAGTTGCATACGAACACACATGCATCAGGCATATTGCCTACTTTTCATTTCACAGTTCCTTCTTTTTTTTCGCCTCGTAAAACGCATTATCTCGACAGAGGAAGAGAGAGAGAGAGAGAGAGAGAGAGAGAGAGAGAGAGAGAGAGAGAGAGAGAGTGAGAAAGAAGAAAAAACGAATCTGCTGAAGTTTACGGATTTTTGTTATTTTTTCTTCTCTGAATTTTCTTGGTTGTTTGTTTTTTTTTCTGACTTATTGAACAATCTTCATCTAGGTGTGTGTGTGTGTGTGTGTTTTCCTTTTTTCATTCCACTGAATCGGTAGTGTATTATTAAAAACCGAAAATGAATTATTATTAAGCGTAGTAAAAATTGTTCAAGGTGCATATGTTATTTTAGACGGTGCATATACATGATGCATTAAGAAGGCGAACCTTAAGATCGAGATCGAAAGCGAAAAAGGAAGCAAAAATGAAGATTGGGAACAATCGAGAAAAGGGAGAGAGTGAGAGCATATCTCGAGAGCGATTTTTGAGAATCTAAATAAACCGAAAAAGGAAGATGTAAATATAAATCAAAACAAAAGCAAAGCCCGAAACAAACGAAGAAGCAGTGAAATAGACCATGGGATGCTCTATGTGTGCAATTTTCGTTCTTCGGTGTATAACCTAGATTTGTGTTGCCGAGTGCATATATTCGGAATGCATGTGTATTTGCGGGGTTCGAAAAGACAAAAGAGAAATCATAAGAAGAAGAAGAATAAGACTTCAAACTGATGGAATTCGATATTCACAGGTAGAATTTGTACAATCACTATTGATCTGTGCTAGACAAGGCAAAAAAAAACTATAAATTGCTCTCGCAATGTTGTAGGTGACTTCAGCTTAAAATCGTCCTAATGTCAGATGCATTTTCATCGGTGCTCTTTCCATTGTCTCTTTCGAATGCACAATTTTGTCGGCAGAATTTACGCACTGCATTTTACTGTGTCAACATGTAGATGTTCCAAAGGAAAACGATAAAAATTACGAATTATAAAAGAAGAAGAAACCTTAAAAAGATGAACAAATCGCAAAGAAGATGATGAAGAAAAAATTGTGCAGTTGTCGATGAAAATTGGGTTTTCCTTATGTGAACCTCAAACTAATTGCCTGAATTCGATTTTCGACTGAGTAATCGGCACGGCTTCGGAATTGCAATGGCGACACAGAAACCTAACATCACTCGCATTCATCGTACACATTTTAAACAGATCACTGCACATGTTATGATAATTGTTCTGACATAGTTTTAAAACTCAGTAGGCATTGGCACGATACGTGTTGCGTACAATATTTTTTTCCCTTTCGATTATGTTTATTCATTGTTTTGCTATTAATTTATTTACTAATTTATATTATTCATTTGAAATAATTAGTGTTTGCCTTGTTAGTAGCCGCATAATTTGGCGCATTGCACTCGCACAAATGAAACAGCAACAACAAAAACAGCGCATTACTTGAAATTGTTTGCTATTAGAAACCGAACCTTAAATGCTCAATTCGATTAAAGTATAATTGTCGAATATGAATTTGTAATTAACTTTTCTGCTAAATCATATTCGGTTTTTCCTTAAATTTTCACACGACATTCGCGACGAATAAATGTGCGACAACATCAAAGGTCAGTTTTGTGCAAGCGCCGACTACTGTGATTGCAAAATTGAAATTGGCGCGAAAATTTCAAGTGACTTTTCTTAGTGTTTCATTTTAAAAGTCTAAGAAAGAAAAACATGTGCATTTTTCAACGTGTGCACAGGCACACAGAGAGTGCAGCGAAAAACGTGTGTGTGATATTGTTTACAGTCGATTCCCACAGACACCGAAATCGAATGCATGTCTACTTGTCTCGCATGTAAAATAGAAAAAAAAGCGATATGTGCTCTATCTGAGCCGGGCAGTTTGGCCACTCTCACCACCACAGAAAGTCACGTAATGTACGAAAATACGTATTCATTATTCAATAAAAATGTTTATTGCCGAACATCAAAGCAAATTGCAATGAATAATAAATTATTAGAGAAATGCCATAGCTGCTAATGCAGCTTGGATGGACGGTGTTGAACGGTAGTTGTGGTTTTTTTGTGAGTGATAGAGCAGCACAGTGTCGAAAAGTCATCGAGCATATATACGAACGCATAGTGCGAGTTTCTGTGTCCGGGTGCAACAAACACGGCCAATTCAAGCCACCCGATGTATCGATGAATGCGAGATACAGGCGAAGAAACACCGCTCCGAATTTGGCGAGAGAGAGAGAGAGAGAGAGAGAGAGAGCAAGTGAAAATATAATATTGCTGGTAATAGGAATAATAAAAATGAGCCACTCGTGAAAAATTCATATCGGCTGACCTTTTGAATATTTCGGCGTTTGTGTGGATGTGTGTGTGTGATATGTGCGCAACTTTTTCCTCTTTCCTATTTATATTTATGAAAATGGAATTTTTGATCATAGAAATAATACAATTTTTTTTTCGTTGTTGTACACATTTTGGGGCTGCTTTTGTTTATATAATCGAAATTGAGGCAGCCGAAAAACACCGATGAATTTTGACGAAATAATAGTTTCCATCACGCATATTTCAACCAAATATGAACGATATTGACGGACACGAAAAATTCGAATAGCAATCACCGAATATGAAACGAAACGAATCAAATTAATTTTTATCATGAAATGCGATTCACGGTA